ATCTCTAAAGTCACGCAACAGCCTTTTGATACTGTTTTGGTTTCCCAAGAACATTTTCCTACTGTGAAGAAAATGAGCTTACCTGCTGAGATAGACTCCTTGTTCTCTCTCCATGAATAAAGATGAGTTTTGAATTCTCCTCCTAGGTTATCCCTCAGTGGACCATCAACATTAAAGTATTATCACCTTGTGAGACCTTATGGAAACCCCACAGCTTCATGACCCGTAGCACCTATCTACAGAAGAACAAATACAGATTTGTCAGGTCTGGCAATGACAATTAAAATATTAAACAAGCCTCCCACTCCACGGAGCCTCCTGGCTGTTTCACCTTTTCAGGGTTCCTGTTCACAAAGGAATGAGCCCCACGAAAAAGAAGATCCTGTGGAATTAGAATGTCAGGGCCGGTGGGTGGGTCTTTCTTCCACCCTAATCCCATCCGATATTTTAACATAACTATTATGAATAGACTCGAGACTGTTTAACTTTTCCACCAGAAACATGAGCTCCTTGGAAGTGGGTACCAGACACCTAGCATTTAAATTTTTATTCTTTAAAATTCACTTTGTGATTTCGCGTTCATTCTTTTCAGTAATATGTTTGCTACCCTTTAAAAAACAGTTTCTAAATCGGGAGTGGTGGCACACACCTATAATCCCAGCACTCTGGGGGGATCACTGCAAGTTCAAGGTCAGCCTGGACTACAAAATGAATTTGATATGGGGGAAAGAAACTCCCAGCCTACTAGATGTCTGGTAAAGGTCACGTTTTCAAAAATCGAAGAACGAATTTTAGGAACAACAGAGGTCAAAAGCAGAATATATTTACTGAGAAAATGAAAGCTTCTGTCTGAGAGACAGAAGGGGCTCCTAGTGAGTTGCCAAGAACCCTTCCTTTTCTGGGATTTTTATAGAGCAAAACCACGAGGTGAGGCTGGTCTAAAGTGGGGGAAAAAAATGGGAATTTGCAAAGCAGGGGGGCCTGAGATGGGACAGAACTATGGCTAACCAGTATGATGACAATTGTAATTACTCAGGTTAAACTGATTAAATCGGGATCAAATGGGGAGGCCAGTCTTGTAGCTGTTGGGGGCTGCATGAGTGACTCTTGGTTTCCTCAGGGTGATAGAGACCTATTTAGAATATCAATCCTTAGGATGTGGGTGTATTTGTTTGATCTTCTGTCTTGGGGTCTGGCCCACACAGCAGGAGGTGGCTGTTTCCTTCAAGGTCACAAAATATCTGGCCTTCTGCACTGGCTCCTTTGATGGCCTAACCCTGTCTGACTGTCTATAATATTTCTAATTAACTCAGCTACCTATAGCAAGCTCAAGGCCCCAGCCTGAACTGCACAGCGAAACCGTTTCAAAGATTTTTTTAAAAATCCCAATAACAATTGAGCATTTCTTAAATGCCAAGTACTTTGCATTGATTCTCTCATTTAATTTTTCTAATCACATTGTGAGATAGCCATTTTACAGATTTGGAAACAAAAGCCCAGAGAGGTTAAATAATGTATGTAGGATTACACAAGGTAAGGAAGCAGTCAGGAGTTAAACTGAAATCTGTAGTCCTAATTAGAGTTTAACCGGTTTATACAGCCAGTTTTCCTGAGATGATTTGCCACTGATTTATCTACGTTTTAATTTCCCAGGGAGTTTATGCTTAGTCCAGGAAATAAACGCAGGCCCTGCCAAACACTTTCTGTGTTTCTCTGCAACAAAACTCCTTCTTAAGACAGCTAAACTGGATTTGACGCGTAGATACCCAGGCTGCAGGGAGCTAATGGAATTTAAAACTGCGTTGTGGCGTGCTGGGGCTTGAAGTCTCCTCTTCCATTCGGGCGTGCCCATCAACCCGCCAGAGTAACGCTTCCTGCCGCTTCACCCCACATTGCTGGTAGTATAAGGGCTCAGCCCACGGGGCAGACAGGGACGCTTGCGCACCCTGGTGGAAGCCACGAGCCCCATTTTACACAGTGCAGGAAGAAAATGGTCCTCCGAGGGATGAACTAAGCTCCAGGATTTAACACGAGTTCCTTTCAGTTCAGCGTTACCGGATTTATCACATTAAGAGTACAGTAGCAACGTCTGAGTTCGCGAAGAAACTCCACAATTGAGTGGGTGGGGGACTGGGAAGGAGGCGTTTCCTTCCCCTGTTGTGGACTTCAGGTCCGGCCCGGCCCGGCCCCCGGCTCAGGGCCCCGCCCCCCGCGGATAAAGGAGCCTCAGCCAATCCGGGAGCCGCGCCCCGCCGGCAGTGACGTGCCCCGCCCCTCGAGCGCGGGATTCAAACTCCCGGAAGCGGTGATTGCGCTGGAGGGTGTGGAGCGACCGCCGCGAGCTCAGTGTGTCGCCTGATTGCGGACTGGCCCGCCGGGCTGAGCGGACGCGGAGGGTTGCAGCCGAGTGTCCAGCGTCTGCTCCCTGGGGTGGGGCAGGGCAGGGCCGGGCCGGACCGCGCGACGCGGGCTCAGTGACCCATGCCCCTTTCTCTGACTCCCGCTTCATGCCTGTCACCCGGCTGGGCGCCTTTCCATCGCTGTCTCTTCAGTTCCTCCTTTTGACCTTGTGGTATGTATTATCTACTTACAGAGGCAAATGATTCGGCTGGAGGCTTTCTTACCATTAGCATGCGTTGTTTCTTATCCTTTCTACCAGTGTCTTCATTTTAGAGGTGAGGAAACTGGTGCCTATTTTTGCAGTTTGTGTTTTCCTGTCTCTTCTTCCGCCTGAGATCTTGGGTGAAGGGTTTTTTTTTTTTTAATTTTATTTTTAGTGAAGGGTTTGTAACTTGCCTCCTCTGTGGAACACACGGCCTATGGCAGATGCCCTGTGCAGTTTACAGGGTTGGAATGCAACCTTTGGTTGCCTCTGCCCACCCATGACTTTTTAGTCTCTTCAGCCAGTCAACAGATGGTTTCTGAGCCCTGCGAATTACTGAAAACCCCGAAGTGCAGCCTCTAAAACAATCGTGGGGGGGGGGGGGAGATTGAGGGCCAGTATAACTTACTACCAGATTGGAGGGTGCACTGTTTCTCTTAGAATTTACAGAGGGAGGACTTCTTTTTTAGGGTACCTTTGAACTAATCTTGTAACCCAAACTGTCCTCAAACTCACCGTGATCCTCTGCCTTCATCTCTGTGGAGCTGGAGTTACAGAGGTGCACCACCAAGCCCTGCCGGTAGGGCTTCTTGAAGTTGCCATTGAGTAAAGTCAAGTCTGACCAGGGCAACTCTGGGTGACTAGGATAACAAATACAGGAAAAGGCCAAGAGGACTAGGTGTTAGTCCAGAGGCTAAAAACAGTAGCCCTTCATCACAGTCGTTTCTAAAGGATTCGAAGCAAATGCCCTGAGTTATTTCAGGTTCTGCTGGTCTGTATGTCCACTGTTTTGTCTATCACAGTGACTTACTATTTTACTGTCTTATCAACCCAGTATATCAAATCCACAGAGACCAACCAAGCATGTTAGAAGGAACTTCCTAGGCAATAGGTTCCTGAGATATGTTGCACTAGTTACTTTAACCTTTGACCTTACAATAGGCTAAAATAGGGGGCAGGTTTGCTACATGGTTTGTTCAACTCCGTCTACACAGTTCTAGTATTTTTAAAGCTTTCTGATTGAACACGGGACAACTTTACAAGTCATTTCTCCACCTTAAGTAACTGTCCCATTTTTACTGGTATCTTTATCACTACTGTTTATTTTCTATAAGAAATAATTACAATTTGAGAATTCACAGATCTGTTTGTTTCCTGGTTATTGCCTGCCTCCTTTACTACATTAATGTCAAGAAACATCCCCTCCTTGCCTCTTCCAGTACTAGGGGTCAAACTCAGGACCTTGAATGTGGTAAGCAAGCACTCTTCCACTGAGATACATTCCCGTTCTTTATATTTTATTCTGAGACAGACTGTTGCTAAGATGTGATCCCCCTTCCCCAGCCTCTTAACAGGGATTACCGTTTTTTTTTGGTTAACCGGTTTATACCCAGCACCTATTAAGAGTTCTTGGTAAGTAGTGTGAATCCATTAAATGGTTTCATACCATCTAGATTCTTTAATCACACTACCATCAGTTTATCTCAGGATGCAAGATGGAAAAATGATTCTTTAATGTCTCTAATGCAAAGTACCTTTATGTACTATTTATTGCTAGAGTTTGTGTTATACACTTGCTACTAAACTGTCATCTAGTACTGCTAGTGGATGCTAAGCTGTTTATTTAATTTGGCTTCTTAATTTCTTTCATTCCTCAAACCCCTGTATATTGTGGGTCTTTTCCTCCAAATGTCTTATCTTAGATTGTCATTTCCTCCCAGTGTCTGCTCTCAAATGACTAAGATAGAACTGAGTTAGGCCTGTCTTCTGAGACGGAGGATATCCCATTATAATTGGTAATGAATTTCAGTGCCAATAGACTCAGATTACTTAGCATCAGCTTTTTATTCTTGAGCATGTCTTTGATTGTGATCTACTTCTTTCAGGCTTTAATAGTTGGAGACTGTTGTATTTTAAACAAAATGTTTTACTAAATTACAACATACATATAGAACTGCACAAAACATGCAAGTTGACATGTTTCTCAAAGGCAGTACTGCACATGCGTTCACCACCTGAGGGTTTGTTGTTGTGTTATGGTGCTGGAAGGTGAACACTGCACTCCATCCCCCCCCTCCCCCTGTTTGTTTTGAGATAGGGTTTCACTTGGTTGTTCATACTTTTGATCCTCTGGCTTTAGCCTCCTATATAGCTGGGATTAGAGGTGTGTCCCACCATGCCTGCCCCTACTTGAGATTTTTCAAAAAGTTCCTCCTGTCTCTGCCTCCGGAGTGCTGGGATTCCAGGCTCCAGGCCTGTGCCACCACACGGGCTCCTCAATCTTCTGCAACACACTGATTTGAATGTATCAGTTCTGTTTAGAACAGAATTGGTTATTAGGCCTATTTCAAACCTGAGATTTAAAATTTTAAAATATAGTTGATTTTTATTTTTACAGAGCATTTCAGAGATGTCCTCCAGAAGTCCTAAAGATTTCATTAAGCGTAAGTGGGGATCAAAACCTAGTAACACCAAATCAGAAACTGCATTAGAGAAATTGAAAGGAGCGATGGATGAATTCACGAATGGAAAAGGAAAATTTACTGAAAAAGAGAGACACAAACTTTTGGAGGTAAATGATCTTTAACCATTTAAATTGAAGTAAGCTTCTTAGAAAACGTATTACAAATTCTTTTTTTGTTTTGTTTATCACTAGGGATCAAACTCAGAACCTTGAGCTTAAGAGGCAAACATTGAGCTAAGTCTTGTTACAAATTCTTGATGCTGCTTCTTGCTCTCGTCATGGTCCTTATTGTATCCTACTCATTACTTTGGGAAAGTTGAACTTAAAATCCTAAATTCCAACTTTTCTTTTGTCAACTTTTAGATACACTTTAGCTACTACTAACTTTTCAAATATAATTGAGTGTGTGTTTTAAGGTTATCAGTTAGTAAGTTTTTTTCAGAAATACATCTTAGCAAGGTATGATGGTGCAGGGCTGTGATTTCAGCTACTTGGGAGGCTAAGACTGGAAAACTTCAAGCTTAAAGGCAGCCTATGCAACTTAACGAGACTGTCTCAAAAAATAAAAAAGGCTTAGATACAGCCTAGGAGAAGAATACCTGTGGATTAAATCCCTAGTACTAAAAAAGGTTTGTGGGGCTTTTGACTCAGGAAACTCCTGCCTGTGGTGCGGATCTTTATGCTGCATCACAGCGTGTTGGAAGGGCAGGCACACACAGGAGACAGCAGGCAGATGGAGACAGAGACACAGAGAAGCAGCGAGGGAGGTGGGGAATACCTCAGGGGCTTCGTTCACTTCCCTGATGGCTCATTCAGGATAAGTGCCCCAATCTCATGATAGATCACAGCAAGGCGCTCATGAGGGCTCTGCCTTTGTGAGCCAGTCATCTCTTACTAGATCTCCTCTTGTAGATTAAGGGAATTGGTGGGAACACATGCAGACCACAGCATTCCATATTTAAGATCCTAAAACATACTGTTTTATCGTTTTCACTTTTTTATTTAGTGCATAATTTAGAAGTGTTCTATTTGTGTGCTTTTTGCAATACTATAATATTCATATATACACTTTAAGAGTACCATGCTGTTCTTAAATCTCTTTTTTACTGTAGAAGGAGAAGAAATTATTTAGCTAATTAATAAAATAATACAATTTTCTATTAGTTCACTAAATGTAAAAAATTGTATCTACTTAAGACATCTTAAATCCTCTATCTACTTCAGAGTGTGAAATAGTGTTTGCATGTCCTTATAAAAGTTATTTTGCAACCTGGTAAAAGAAATCTTACAGATTTCCTGAGAGACAACTCTAATTCATTCTACCTTCAACAGCATTGCATACTTTTTCCCTTAATAATTGATCGAAACTAAGCTTTTATAATTTCTGCCCATTTTGTCTAATTGCACCCACGAGAACTACACAGAACACGTCTTTTTCTCATTCAAGTTGACAATTTCTCAGATATTTGAGGAAATCATGCTTCCTGTTGGAAATTTCATATTCTTTAGCTCCTTTGACATCTTATCATCAGCACTTTATAGTTTGCCTTTTATCCCTCTAAATTGTGTACCCAGAATTGAACCCTGCTCCACAAATTGTAGGACTCTGTAGCTATATGGTACTACTGATTTGATTCAAGCTTGTGGTTAATTAAACTTTCCTTTTCATTTTTCATATTAACAGTCATCCACCTAAACGTTAATTTTTCCATTAGTTTTTGGACTACTCTTTTTCTTCCCTAAGTGCATGATTTCACTTACATTGTTTTAGCTCTTTTAGCCTACTCATCCTAATCATTATTTCTGTCATCATTCTCTTGGCTGGGTTTACCTCATGCTGGCAGCAGTGTAGCAAGCATTACTTGCTTATCTTGCAAACCTGAGAAAGATTACCTTTCACATGCCATACCAAATCGTTTATCAATAGAAAGAGATTAATGAATGCATCTTTATCCTGCTGTAACGTTCTGTACATTTTAATCTCTGTGGGTTTAAGCTCTTAAAGGACATGTATCTGTGGGACCCACTTTTAGCCTTTAGGTTAATAAGGTCCAATATGACAGAAGGAAGATTCTCAAATACTCACGTGAGAGCTAGACTTCTTTAGCCTTCTGTCTCTACTTTTGATAGAGTTAGTTTCTCCTTTCTCTGACCATTCAGTGTGAATGTATGCATGTGAGTTAAGTACTGGGTTCTGTTTTTCTCTGAATTGTCTGATCACAGACATTGGCTTTATCTTATTTTAGGCTGGATATCATAAAGCCAATATGATATCAAATAAACACTTCATAAATGCTTTTTGAAGTATATTGTTTAGCTGGATGTTTGACCTGGCTTTGTTCTAAGATTTGTCTTAGTTTATTTCTAGAAAATTCAAGTTCTTCAAGCTGAAAAGGAAAAGAATGTTTATCAGCTTGCAGAGAAGGAAAAAGAAATACAGCGACTCAGAGACCAGCTGAAGGCCAAATACGGTCCCACCGCCTTGCTTGAACAGTTGGAAGAGAAGACGAAGGAAGGTGACAGAATGGAGCAGTTGTTGAAATCCTTATCTGAAGAGACAGATTCACTGAAGAAACAGTTATCTGCTGCAATGGAAAGACTTGGTGAATTTGAAAACCAAGCCAGTGCACTTCATTTATCACAGGTGCTAATGGTGTCTTCAAACTCAAATTTTTTTTTCTTTTTAACACCATTTACAATTCCTGTCAAGAATGAGTTTGTCAAAGCATGTTTGCCAAATGATGAGACCGCATAGTAACTTACAGGTCATTTACTTTTTTCCCCCCAGTCTCTTCTATGAGCAATAATGTGATTCCCTCCATCCCACACCGTCATTTTAACCAAAGGCAGAGTCTTCTGAACTCCTTTGTTGAACGCCTTTCTCTTTTGCCAGTCAGGCACTTACACCACTGAGCTAAATCCCCAGCCTTCCTTTTTCTTTTGTATCATGAGGACACTAGGCTTTTTGGTTGGTTTTTTATATTTTAAATACATAATTATAATAGCAAGTATACTTTTCCTAGCTGCACATACATCTCCTTCAAACAAAAGTTTGAAAGGCACTAGTGTAGCTGAGTGCAAAGCTGTAGAGGGAAAGATCTGGGGCCAGGTCTTGGTTTTGCCCCGTGATAGCTGTGTGACTGTGACTTCTTGAACGTCCAGCCTCAGAAACAATGCTAGTACCCACCAGACCGCCTTTCCTGAGCCTCAGTTTCCATATCACTAAGAGCCGGATAAAAATAATAATGACTAAGTATCACAGCATTTATAAGTGGCCTAGCATAATGTCTGGCACATGCTAAATAGTGTGTAAATGGTTATTTATTGATCAGTCTTTGATTCTGTTGACTATTTGAACATTTGAGTAAGCTAACACAACTATTAATACCTGTAGAAGATAATCGGGGCCTTCCAAATATAATATCTTAATGCTGGGGGGTTTTTTGTTTTGTTTTGTTTCTGGTGCCGGAGATTCAGCTCATAATCTCGTGCTTGCCAGGCATGTAATGTTACTAATGGTCTGTCTTTATCCTTTGTATCCCCTTTAGGGTCAGCACAATGATCAGATCTGTATATTTCCATGTACTTCTATAGACAGGCAATTCAGTGTTCTACAGATAAGTTAAAAAAGGTGAAGATTTTTTTTAGAGAATTCCACAGGGCTGAAACTCATAAAACATTTTAGTCAGGTCCAAAATGGTTAAGTAAAATCTTTATTTGAAGTTCAAGGATTAGTTTTTCCACTTTTAATATGAATTATAAATCTCAGTAGAAAGTTGAAATTTTGAAAGATATATTCTTATATATTTGTGGATTACTCAGGAGGATCTTTGCTCATTTCATGACCAAATGTTGTAACAAACCACCTTCAGATCTTAGCATCTTAACACGAGAACTGTAGACTTGTCCTCATCTCGCAGACCAGTGCTAGGTGGGTGGAGGAAATGTTGCTCCACAGAGCGGGAGACCCAGACCCCTCCTCTCTGGCAGCTCCACTGTCATTTAGGGTGGAGGCTTCACCAGGTGCCCCATGTATTGGGACTGGATGTGTTACTTTGCCCACACTCCGTCAGGCAGAAGTCAGGCGCAAGGCCCCACTGCCTGCAGGGGAGGCTAGGAAACAGTCCTCAGCATTTGAGGAGCAGGAGTCGGGGGAGCCAGCAGGGTAGCAGTTACTGAAGTCTCTGCCATACTTTCTACTTGGAGGACTAAACAGAGAGAAAGAACTACATACTAAGGTAGAGTGAAGAGGGCGTCTTTGGAGACAAAAAATACTTTGAGCTTCCTTGGCAACAGTCACATAAATCTCTTACGGCTGATTTAAAAACAAAATCCTGAAAAACAGCTTTTTCTGAGTTTGTTGGCTAACCTGGGAACATAGCTATTTATTTTCTTTTTATTTTTTTCATGAGAAAATGAAAGAAAAAGGAGAGAAAATATGGTTTGAGTTCCATATAACCTATGTGAACTGAATTTTACAGGTTGAACATCCTAGTCCCAATACTCTAAAACAGAAAATATCGATGAATTGAATGTTTAAATTTGAGTCCCATCTCTGAGATATCTCATTCATGCAGATGTTCCAAACTCTGAAATATAAAACACTTTCGGTCCAACCAGTTTTAGGTAGATGTTCAACTGGTACTAATACAATATATACTTCTAGGGAAAAACCCTGTTTATCTTTTGTTTTACAATTCATAATTTCCAGATTTCATTTAAATAACCCAGTTGTTTGGTTTGGCTCCTTTTAGTGAAAAACCACTGAGCTCTTTTTAAATCTTATTCTGGTGATCCTGGGTCCAGACAATCTCAAGTCAGATTAGATCTGAAATCTCAGTTTCCAGTTTGTTAGGAAGCTTCCAGGAAGTCTAAATTCTGACAGTGGTCCTCTGGTAGCTATCACATGTGCCAGATCTGGATTTGGGGATTTTCCTGAGAACATATTGTATCTTTAAGGAGTAAAGTATAATAAGGAAACTTCTATTGTTAAATGTATGATATTAACTAATATTGGGTTGTTTACAGAATATGTCTGCAGGCTCAGCAGTGAGTAATGCTCGTGAGTTGGAAATACAGCTGAAAGATGTAAGTTTACTTTTTTCTTACATTATAAGTAAAGAAGACTAGCTTATTCTTAAATATGGAAATTGCCAGCATTAGTGCTCTGACTTGAAAAATAAAAGTCTCGTGATGAGACAAGGGAAACAAATGATTTGTAATCATTGTGTAAGTCTCAAAGCTTGGTCTCTTCTCCAGAAAGCCCTCGAAGTCACCTGCCTACAACTGTCAGATGCCTCAACAGTATCATTTGTTCACCTAAGCCTAATTTGCCCAGTTGGTTTTTTTTTTCTTAGCGTAATGTAATTTCACTTATAGTTTTTCATTTTTTGTTGACCCATACAACATGTACCCTTCAGTTTAAAATCTTGGAAATGAAGTTAATTTAGATATATGGTAAAGCTGTGTTATTTCAAATGTAGGTCTCAGATGGATAGTTAGGTTTCATTGAGAACTGAGTGACACACACTCGGGACTGCTATTTACCATATATGTTTTCAATTTTTTTATTAGATTACAATATAAAGTTTTTGATTTAATCATTAAGTCACTAGGAATTTTGATTATAGAAATGTCACTGACCTCTCCACTGATAAGCATGCTTACAAGCTGCTTGCTTTCTGCCACCTGTCAAGTGTTTCTTGAAGTCTGTTTGATCTTTAAGAAAGAATTTAAATCTTCTGAGCATCTGTATACAGGTGTCACAGTATGTTTATTAAAGTGACTTATATAAAGGTAGCTGAAATAAAGAGACAACATAATTTTTTAAAAAATTATTAAAATGGGAGTTTTGTGTTGCATGTTACACTAAACTTCATTGTTTTGCATGTGTTAGTGTGTTATTGTGCATATTTATGGAAAATTTATCTTACACACTTCCTGTTTTCTCCTTACTTCTACCATGCTGGCTTATTGAAGATACTACGTTTTCTTTTTTGGTTTCCTGTGCTTGGAAAATTGTTCTGCAGATACTTTCATGACTCCCAAACTCTACTCAGATGTTTGCTTTTTTGTCATTTACCTGGCGAGTGGCAAGAACAAAGGATTCCCTAGTTACTTGATCTAAAACGTAACTCTCAGACAATTCCTGGCCCCTTTCCTGCATTTTCTCCCTCATCATGTGTTACTGTTAAATTTAGTCTACGTTACTTCCTTCTGTTGCTCATTGACCTCTTCCATTACGATAAGATACATGAGGGAAGGGTTTTTGCATGTTTAGTTCATTGCTGTCTCCCCAGAATCTAGAACATTTGAAAGAATGAATGGGCTCTATGAAGTTTCTTGGGTTTCCTTAGTGTTTTTCTAGAAAAGAACCTGAAAGTAGATACTGTTGTCTTAAACTCATACATAAATTTTAGGCTTTTGAGAGCTAACTGCTTCAAATAGCAGCTAAAGTTATTATTAGCTAATAACCATCCTTTCTGTAGAATTAACTTTAAAATGTTACATTTCTCTGCCCAGAAATGTTTTATCTTTGTTTTATCTTTATTTTCCTGGCTTATTTAAGGATCACATTGTGCACCTCTGTTCTGGTTACTTTAGCCTGACTCACCTTCAACTGGTTTAGCTCAGTGTATGAATCTAGGGAATCTTTTTTGGGGAGGAAGGGGAATTCTCCAGGATAGAATTCATGACCTCTGCTTGCGAGACAAGTGCTTGTGCCGCTGAGCCAAATTCCCAGCCCTAGGGACTTGAAAACAAGTGCAGATCTGATTTATGTGCGCCAGAGTAGGGCCTGGCCTGAGACTCTGCATTTCTGGCAAACCCCCAGGTCATGCTGTGGCTACTGCTGCTAGAGAACTGCACTTGAGACTCCATTAACTTATATATGAGGAGCCAGAGGTGGTTTAGCTCTGCTTGCATTTTCCAGATCTCAGTAACTCTTTGAGTCGTGGGAGAAAATTGTATTTAGAAGACTTAGGGAAGACACATCTCATTCCTCAGTCCCCACACTGGCACTAGAACATTATTTGGCTTTTGAGACCTTAGCAGTTCTGGTCCCATCACTCTCTTCAAGGTTCCCAGAAAACTTCCTGTAGAACTTTGCTCGTTTATTTTGAAAATCTCCGTTTCTAGGTTTTTTGGAAAGCCCTAAAACCTGCGCATAGCTTTCTGAAGGCCTAATTGTTCATTCCTCAGATCTCACTGACATTTTGAAATATGTACCTGCAGTTGTTAATGCTGCAAACATGGCCAAATGTCAGTACTTTCAGTATTTAAGAATTGTTTTAGAATGGACTGGATTAAGCCAAATAGCTAGAAGATAGTTTAACAGGCATTTCTTGCCCTTAATTTAAATAAAAATCTGATTTATAAACAGAATTTAGGGAAGATAAATAGAATTTTTTTTTTAATCGGTACTGGGGATTGAACTCATGACTGCCTGCCTGCAAGGCAGGTGCTTATGCTGCTGAGCTAAATACCCAGTCCCCAATAGAATTATTTTTTTAAATCTGGAAAAAAATTAACATAAAAATTCTAAGAATAAAAATGGCACCTGTAATGTCCATATACCCCTTACTAAAATTAAACCCTTATTAACATTTGCTATTTTTCTCTTTCATACCCCTTACACACTTTACTTTTTTTCTGAACTACTGGGGAGTGAGTTGTACATAACCACCGCTTTTTAACCCTGCATGCTTTGGTGTATCTTTCCTAAGAGTGAGAATAATTTCTTACATTACTATAGCCCAGAGAGCAACTCAGTAAGTTTAATATGGACATGATATTTATCAACTGATCACATTGTTTATTCTTCCAGTGCTGGATTTCTTTTTTCCTATTTTTTTGAGGGTTCAGTCTGGCCTTGAACTCACTTCTTAAATATGAAAAAATGCAAAATTTGGTATAAATTAGGCATTTACTCATCCAATGCATTACAATTTATGGTACTGTGTTTGGATATATACAGATTCTGAGTCATATAATGCTGCCTCTCTTAACAGCTAAATCTGAGCACAAACCCAGGGTCCTTGTGAATCTTTGAAAGATGCCTAGAGAATGCACAAGGGTCTCACGGGGGATGGTGGTGGGTCTGATTGAGATAATCACCATTGCAGCTTACTGTGAAATAGACCTTGAATCTTAGTTATCCTCTCAACTCTACTAAGATCGTGATGAAGTTGAGATGTGATTATTCATATTTCTTTGAAACTGATTATTTTTTTCCCAACTTCACGGAAAATTTCAAACATACAGAAAAGTTGAGAGGAATTAAACAAGTGCAGATCTATCACTCAAGATTCAGTGAGACAGACTTTTTAAGTAGAATTATGCCAATGAGGATAATATCCATGAAACTTTGTGTCATAAGTCTCATACTGGGAAGCTTTGCTCACGAATGTGTGAGATGCTTGTAGAATCTCACAAGGATAGAGAAAGACCTAAGAGTTACCATAAATACAGCCTTCGTGGGTATTAGGCTCAGCCACCTTTGTCTGTAAAAGGTGGATGCTCCTACTGGAAAGCAGGTGTTCTGCTGCACAACCAAAATCTTAGGCTTCTTTGTTATTCTTCATTCTGTAACTAGAAGTCTAGATTATCATCAAAAGAAATACTATAACTCTATTTTCAGATTGAAATTAAAATAGATGAATTTTGTCTGATAGATCATTTTAAGATTGAAATGAGAATCTGTATAGTTATCCAGTCAGTCTGAAATCTTGAAAAATGAAGTCTATGAATACTGTTGCAGGTCATTGGGGGTGCAATTTACGATAAAATCTGGATTTGTAGTGGGTCCCATGGGATATAAATAAATCAGTTTCTGTCCCTACTGTACAAAGCTGATGTTCTTTTTCTTTCTTTTTAATCGGTACCAGGAATTGAACTCACAACTGCCTGTTTGCAAGGCAGGCGCTTATGCCGCTGAGCTAAATCCCCAGCCCTTTCTTTTTCTTTTTTCTTTCTTGCTTTTTTTTTTTTTTTTTTTTTTTTTTTAAAAAAGCTGATATTTGGGGGGAATAAATGGTACTTACCACTTATCCTGCCTTACCCCTTTGGAGGGAGCCCCAGCTCATGGAGGAGGGCAGCCAATCTTTTTTGGTATCCCTATAATGCATGTAAGGTAGTTCTAAAAGAATTGAACCCTTTTGAAGATGCATTCCATTATGTTTTACTTCCTTGAAATTCTACCATGCAACGTTCTAGTCAGGAACCTTGTGTTTATATCATCTCTTTCTGGCAGTCTTGAAGAATATAAAGTTACATATGGTTGCCATGTCAACTGATAATAACAAAGTGTAACAGATCTTGGGCAAATTATGCCACAAGAACTACATATTAAACACTTGTGACTACGGAAATGTTTATGGTTCCGTTACAGAGGGGTTTGATTACGTTCTCATGTATTGCTTAATCAGTGACTAACAGACCTTAGCAAGTATTTGGTTCTTTTTGAACTGCTTTAAATTTATGGTTCTTCGGGGCTGGGGGTTTAGCTCACCGGCATAAGCGCCTGCCTTGCAAGCAGGCAGTCGTGAGTTCGATCCCCGGTACCGATAAAAAGCAAAAAGACAAAAAAAAAAAAAAAAAAAATTTATGGTTCTTCTGGGTGTATCAAGCTGCTAGATTCATAGCTTCTCTTTCTCTAAATGCTCTCAGCTTTAACTGGGGCTAAAGGGCCTCTTCATGCTCGCTGCTCCTCGCAGCCATTGTGTTCTGCTCCAGGTTGCCGACCTTATTCATCAACATTTATCAGGTGCCCATCGCACCTGACATGGAAGCACTTAATACACACATGGAAAAACTTCTTCAATGCCTACACAAGCAGTGGGGCAGTTGGGGGAACTGAGGAAGAGGTTAAACTGAACTGGTTTGAAATAGCTGTTCCCCACCAACACGCACACAATATAGAGCCATCATTGTATTAATTTATCTAAAGCTTATTGTGACGGCCTGCAGCTCCACTAAGATGAGAGATTATCTGTCAGCTGAGAATTTCTGTTGTTCAACAAAACATCAGTAGACACTTTTTTTTTCAATTCAGAAGCAAGCTGGGCTCACCAAGACCCAGCTGTGCATGATTCCTCTCACAGGCTTCCTCCAAGGCAACAGGCCACAGTGGGCAACGAGGCTGAGGCTCAGTACAAAGGAGCTTGATCACTACGATGCTGGGCCCAGGGCACACGTCATGCCTGTGAACGGCCTTAGGTTCAGATGCACACCTCCTCTTTGCACAAATAGTCACCGACACTTATTTCCCTGCCTCTCAGGAATGTAGAAGAGGGGGACAGTAGAGTTAAGCAACCAGATTAAGGAGAATGAAGTTTTAATCTCAATGTATGTTGGTGTTACGTAAGAACTTCTAGTCTTTTTCTTCTTTCTGTTAGCAGACTTTGTCTTTATTTGTTTTTGTTTTGACTTTTAGACAGGGTATCACTGTGTAGTCCAGACTGGCCTTGAATTTGCTAAGCTGTCCTTGCCTTCTCCCTCAGCCTCCTGAGTGCCAGGGTTGCAAGCTTGTACCACCAAGTCTGCCTCCTCTCTAGGTTTTTTTTTCTTTGTTTTTATTTTTTGATGTGGGGAACCGAACTCATAACCTTGTACTTACTGGGCAGGGACTGTGCCACTGAGCTATATCCCTGGCCCTTCTCTAGCTTTGAACTTGAATGTGTTGGGCTACTTACTGAAAGAAATTAAATCTAACAATTTAAGTTTGCTTGTACTGCAAGTAGACAGTGAAATGGAGTCAGGGATGGCAGTGGTTTATAGTGCACCTACATTTAACAGGGAAAAAATCAGGAATGCCAGTGGCGACACACAGGAGCTTCAGAGCAGACTGCTCCAAAGCGGAGTCCTGTATGCAGTGCGAATTGCTCATCTCTGCCTTGCTATTGGTTGGAGCCATGCAGCTCAACCCTCCGCAGTAGAGAGATTTGAAGGCAGTAACCATAGGTAAGGCTGCCTGTAGCTGGGAAGGGCTTTTTGTTAGAGTGGGATCTGAGCAGCTCATTTCCACACCTAGTTTACAAAATAACATCTACACAGATACAAAGCAAGTTACCTGTAGGACGCAGCAAACAAACCTAATCCCCCATGAACTACGACTTTGCCACGCTGTATCTATTCTAAATACGTGTGATGTACCATGGTTGCCCCTAATTATCTGTGAACTGTAAGTGTTGGTGTGTTAGAATAGACATCGCTTAGAGTTCCTTGTTCATTTTAAGATTTTTGGTTTTATTATACTGTTGGCTTTTTTCATCTTCACCTCAAGGCTCTGGAGAAGAACCAGCAGTGGCTTGTGTATGATCAGCAGCGAGAGGCCTTCGTTAAAGGACTTTTAGCAAAGATCTTTGAGCTGGAAAAGAAAACAGAGACATCTGTTCCTTCACACCCACAGCAGACAAAAAAGGCTGAATCAGAAGGTACTGACTAGTACAAAAGTGTTCTTTTGGGATCGACTGACATTTCCCCAAAGGAATGATTCATCAAATTTAGATTTTTATAGATGTGTTAGAAAGTAAAATAAGAGGAAATCTTCTAAGCTTCAAATAAGAAATAGTGTTTTGCAAGTCTGTTTCATTTCCTAATGTTTTCAGATATAAGCAGGGCACATGTCACAGATTAGAAAGTCATCACGAAATTTCTTCCGCCCATGTCCTTTCTGTCCCTTAAAGGTCTGCCCCCCTGTTATGTCCCCAGAGATGGCCTTCTTATCACTCACCTTTTTATTCTGCTTTCCCTTTAGCCTTTACTCATAACCACCGCAGCAGAAAGAATTTTAGGTTTTTTGTTTTGTTTGTTTTGTTTTTTATTTTGAGAAAAGGTCTTGTTACATAGTGCAGGCAGGACTTTGTGATCCTCTTGCTTCAGCCTCCAGGGCAGCTGTTGTTATAGATATGCACCACCATGCTTGGCTAAGGATACATTGTATAGCTGATTCTTCAGTTATTTGAACTTCACTGTGGATTTGAGGTTTCTTACTCATACAGCTGTCTTTTGGCCTAGGGCTTTGTAGCCTGTGTAACATTCATCTCAGATGAGTTTGGCAATAATTCTAAGAGGTAGGGTAGTCAGGGTCCAGAAAATTAGGCTCATTTTACAAGTGAAGAAATAGATTTAGCAGCTCTAAGTGACAAGCTGGGCAAACAAAGAGAAACCTCCAACAAAGCACTACTAGTAAGACGTAAGACCAGCGGCCCTACGGGGACAGCCACCTTGATTTCTGCAAAGAGACAACTAAAGCAGGGCATCTCTCCCCATCACCTCGCAGCTTCATCCTTAATGTTTAAAAAACACTAATGCTAAAGAGAGCTATAAAGGGAATGTTTTTAGAGATAATTAGAAGCTGTTCATCTCTAATGGGACGGAGCCACTACTGTAGTCATGTGTTTATTACACCTAAAACAATCTTCATTATAGGCTAAGTATGATTTTTTTCCTTTGGTAATATAGTACAATTTCTGTCTTACCTTCTTCCTTCCCCCTTTCCCCCCCTTTCCTCTCATGTTTTCTCAGAGTAATATAGGAACATTTTAATAATAGAGTCCTGCTCTTTCTTTCTCATTCCATTTAATACTTCTACCATTTTTTTTTTTTTTTTGTCTTTTTCATTTTTATCGGTACTGGGGATCGAACTCACGACTGCCTGCTTGCAAGGCAGGCGCTTATGCCGCTGAGCTAAATCCCCAGCCCCTAATACTTCTACCATTAATTTTGGTAACTTTCTCCCTGTCTATAAATAATGAGTTATGTCCCTGTTTTCTGATTCATCTTTAGAAATTAGGAACTTTCCCTACAAAGTAGTTATATAATTGTTTTTTGTTCTTTTGTGTATTTTGTGACTTCAATAATATGCTCAAACTTCTTAATCTACCACATATCAATTATACCACTACCATTCCAAGTCTTCATTTTGTAAGCTAAAATCATTCATTTTAGCTTCATTTTGTAAGCTTTGATTTCATTTAAAGAAACATGTTTAAAGTTTAATGGCTCAAATGCCATCAATTTCATAAAATAAAGTTTCATAAAATGACTTGTGCCATAATATTATTTGTCACAGACAGTCTTCAAGAAGAAAAGCAAAAATATTACAAGCACCTCTTGGCAAATGCCAAAAGGGATCTTGAGGTTGAAAGACAAACCATAACTCAATTGAGTTCGGAACTTAATGAATTACGAAAAAAATATGAAGAAGCCCAGAAAGAAGTTCAAGGTTTAAATCAGTTGCTGTGCTCACAAAGGAAGGCAGAAGTACAGCATCTGGAAGATGACAGGCATAAAACTGAGAGAATAGAGAGACTCAAGGAAGAAAACAGTCTCGCCAGGGAGAAGCTGGATGAGGAGAGGAGGCGATCCGAGGAGCTGCTGTCCCAGGTGAGCGAGTGGCCTGGTTCTCTGCAGGTCAGCACAGCACGCGGTCTCGAGGAGCCTTGCTGGGCCCAGGCGCGTTTTAGCCAGGGGGGAACTAGAAGGAGCAACAACTGAATAAACTAAAGAAAATAAAGTGGAGTGATGTGGCTTGTGGAGGCCTTTGCCAGGAGGGGGTATTTGGACAAAGACCCAGTGAATCAGTAATTATCTGTGGGAATTCCCTCCCAGAAGGAAAGTATGCACATGGGAGTTCTGAGAGAAGGAAGGAGGTATGTGTGAGAAGCTACAAGGTGTAAACTAGTGGCAGGAATCCCGGCTGCTTTCTAGCCGGCATCTTGTGGCTTCTTGGTGCTGGTACTGTGCTCAGGTGGCTTCGTAGAGCTCCTTCCATATGGTCGTTACACTTGCAGCTTTCAGCTAGGCTGTGGGTGAGCTATGGTTTGTCTTTCAACCTCAAGATCCCTTTTGGCATTTCAAAGAGGTGCTTGTCATACTTTTTCTTTTCTTGAAGATTGCCGATGACAATACTACGGCACGAGTCATTTTATGAATTTCTTTTTTGCTCCTTCTAGTTCTGAGTTAAGATTATTAGAACTGAATACTGCTTTGACAAAACAATTATTAATTTAAATTTTCCTTGGCAGCATTGGGCCCGTACATGGTCTCTAGTTCAGGATGTGTAGCCTTAGGCAAGTTACCTACCTTCTCTGACTCAAAAGTTAGTATTATTCATTGTCAAACGACTGACAGCCTCTACTTCCCTCAGTAGGCTCTTGTAATGCAGAGTCAATTGTGGAACTGTGAGGGTGCTTTGAAAACTAAATAAATATCAATGTTAGCTATTGCTATTATTATAATGTAATTCTTCAAATCCTCCAGAAGGCAAGAGATCACCTGTACTGGTCTCACATGTCTTGAGTAGGTATGAGCAGTGACTTTTGGAAAGGATCAAGCAGAAATTATTACTTTGCCCCAGCTCTTCAGCGAGGGAGATGAGGCACCACCCGCTTTGTCACCCTGGTCTGAAAGGACAGCAGAAGACAGAGCCCCCAGGAAAGGTGGTGCGACCCCTGCAGAGCTCAGGGCTGTTAGTGGCTGGTCAGGTGGCAGGCTCAGGAGCTCCACCGGGCTGTTCTGCTCACTTGCCTGTGCCTGGAGTGGTGGAATGACATCTGGAGAGTCACCCTGCCTCTCAGGTGGCACCCGGGTCAGCGACGTGACTTGTGTTGCATGCGTGTCGTGCCTCCCAGGTAGGTGAAGAAGGGCCGAGTGGGACAACACTGAGTCTCTTTGCACCCCCAGGTGCAGCTCCTTTACACGTCTCTGGTGAAGCAGCAAGAGGAGCAAGCAAGGGTGGCTCTGCTGGAACAGCAGGTACTCACTGGGAGGGCTTCTGATTCAGGTTGGCCTGTTAGAAAATGAAATCTTCCTTGTTTTTTATACTGTTCTGTGGAGAACTGTTTGAAAGTTGTGGGAAATATCTTGGAAAGACTTTAATAAAAGACATTGTGGAAGACTGTATCACTCGTGTTTCTACTACCATCTTAGGCTAAATTAGATTCTTTGAGGTGTGATGGCAATTTTCTTGGCCTTGGCAAATTCTGTTCTTCCCCAGTGGCTGTAGTTTCCTTTCTAACCTTGCAGGTTTTCTGAATAGGGCCATCTTAAAGCTTCAAGCAGAACTCTGAAAGTGACACAATTTATTCTCAGAATACAGAGCAGAGATTCTTAGTATATTCCAAGCCAGGGAGTATCCATCTCTTTCCCTTCTTCCTCTCTCGCCCACAGAAAGAGGATTAAGGAAGACTATTTTCAGCTAGCAACTTGCTAAACTACTGTTCACTTCCCTAAATCTCAGGCCTTGGATTTGTGTCTGCATAAACTGAGTCCTTGCCATAAACTCCATGTATTAACATCTCCTTGTGCTCAGGGCAGTTCTTTTTATGATAATACAACAATATTTTTTTGTGCAAACATTCAGTTAAGTGAACTAAGCTGGGTCTACCAGTTGTAATTGTCTTGTTCTGGGCATTTTCCAGATGCAGTCATGTACTTTAGACTTTGAAAATGAAAAGCTTGACCGCCAAAATATGCAGCACCAATTGCATGTAATTCTTAAGGAACTCCGTAAAGCAAGAAATCAAATAACGCAGTTGGAATCATTGGTGAGTTTGGAATGACTAACCTAAAACTCTGCTTTCTCTTTCTGCCATCTTTAAGTTTATATGTCAAATCAGTTCCCAAACCAGGAGGATACAATTTAAGGAAGAGCTGGCTTTACTTCAGATGAGTAGGCAGACCTTGCCTAGCGCAGGCACCTTCCCTTATTGCACCAATTCAGAGCTCAGAAAGAAAGACATTGTCTACCTTTCGGTAATAATTACACCTGTGTCTGGGATCATTCCCCACTTGTCCCAGATATCATGATTCTAGAGGTACTAAACAGTACCAGGTCTAGAGGAGAGATGAGAGAGGGTGTTACGGAATTCTGAACTAAAGTGAGAAAGAGATTGGCTGGCTGTTTTAGGGGTATTGGCTTATTATTGTTAATAGGCTCTTGAAGGGTGTTATAAGTTAAACATTGTTGAGTTGCCGTAAAACAGTCTTTTAAATGATAAGCCTTTTAAATAAAGAAGTTTCTATAAGGAAATGACTTTTTACTTATCCTCATCTTACCTATAAGTTTTTAGAGTGAGCTTGTTAAGGGTGTGTGTGTATATCTCATTAGTCTATGTAGCTTCTATTATCCTAGTACTGAAAACTATTTGGAGGTGGTAAAAAGTTATAAACGTAACTTCTTTGCCAAGCATGGTGGCACACACTTCCGGGCCCAGTACTCAGAGGCTTAGGCAAGATGATTTTTGCGTTCAAGGCCATTCTGGGCTACATGGCAACAGCCTGCCTAAGTAAATAAATAAATGAAATGACCTGTAATTTCTATGTGAATAATAATAAAGAAAATATAAGTCTGACTCTATTCTTCAGTGTGTCATTGATGTGGACCATTTGTAACAGTGGTGGTGAACCTTTTAGAACTTTCATTGGTAAATAGCTCACTGTGGCCTCTGTCTCATTCATAGCTTTGTCCCCACTGATTTATAAGATTTGAAATTAAAGATTTGAATCATTTGTTCATTTTCAAAATATAGGAAACCAGAAGATACAAAACATTTTTCAGTTTTTCTGTGTTTTTCTTTATGTTCCTGTTGTACACTGTCCTTGTAGGCATTATAAAATACTTATTTTTGAGCTTTCTTGCTTACTCTAAATTCTTCAGGAGAAAGCATGGAAAAGCAAAGTTTCAAAAGTATTATATAATCTCTTACTTGTTTCTGTGCATAATATGTTAAAATTCTTAATTCTATGTAGTTTTTGTTTGCCCCTGTTTTACGAAACTAACAAATTTAGTGAGCCTAGTACATGAGCCTGCCCTTTATCTGACTCCAAGTCTCTTAATAAAACCTATCTACATGAACCTTCAATTTAGTACTTTCTTGGGCAGTTTGAGTAATAATAGTAATTATCTGGGTAGTTTATAACCACCTCATATGTTACCACCAAAATATTGATGAACAGAAATTTTAAAAAAAATAATCTATCTGCTAGGACTGAAGCAGCTAAGGAATCTATGAAACAGTTAAAATTGGTGGACAATGGGTCTGATATACAATGGTGTCTGGTTGAAATTTATTTTTCAGAAGCAACTTCATGAGTTTCCCTTCACAGAGCCATTAGACACTTTCCAAGGAGAGACTGCAAACAAAATGAAAGTCGCCTCACCAAAAAGTCCCCCCACTGTACTAAACGAAAGCCTGGTGGGATGCCCCAAATGCAATGTGCAGTATCCAGCCACGGAGCACCGCGATCTGCTTGTCCATGTCGAGTACTGTTCACAGGAATAGAACAGTCATTTATCTCTATGCCAAAAGGGTTCATGCTCTATCTTCTGTTTGCTTGTGGCCAGTGACAGCTGCATATTCCACCTCTGGTTCACCGCACCGCCTGTCGCCTCTGACACTCTGGCATGCGAGTGAATCATTGTATATTTTGGCTTTGCATTTTCCTTGGCAGTGACACTCCACAAGATGGTTCGTCCTGACCACAGCGACAGAATGTGGTGAGCAGTGTGCACTGAGACTGCTTTTTTGCATAGTTAAAGTACTTGATAAAGGGTATTGATTGTGGGTTAAATCTATGGTGCCAGCACAACAAATATTTTATATTACGTGGAATTTTTAAAAATCAAAGGTATTTAATTGTTGACCTATATATCTAAGTTCTTAATGTAGCAATAATTCTAACAACCACTGGCTCATTTTTTTCTTTGCTATTATAAAGCATTTAATAGAAGTGTTGGGAATTTTATAATCTTTTATTGCTGCTTACTGTTGAAACTGTAAACTCAGCCGTATACTAAGAACAAAACTGATTCTGCTTGAGGAATACTCTTAGTAGCTACATACAATGTTTTCTGTTGTGGTATCTGGCTATAACTTTTAACTTGAACATCATTAGCACACATTGGTTACCTAAAATGGTTAAAATTGATTTTAACAAAACCATCCAGCCTTCTTTGATTTGGAGGTTTTTTGTTTTTTATTATTTTTGACACTCCTACATCTGGGCAATGTAATTATTAAATATTTGCTATTTGAATAATATTTTTATATATTGATAAGCCAAAAAAAGTTTTTTTTTTTAAATTCATATTTTCTACCATACTTAACACTGGGCTACTGTTAACAATGTAAAAAAGAAAAGAATAAAATTATTTAATAACTTTGACTTTGTCTAGTGTATGCATATACATTAGCTAGTCTGATTTCTACCCCACGAGGAGTGTTGGAGATTCCACATTAACATATATGGCAAGATGATGAGGTCAATAAGGGAATATCAGAATCAGCAGCTCTGTGAAGGTAGCAAAAAGAGGACATAGATGCTTGATACTCTTGATCAATGAAGATGATTTTAGGCTTATTCATTATAAAGGCAAAACAATATAAGCATGCTCTGTCATATACTTGGAAATCTTTTGACCTTAGAAATATATAGATATGTTAGAGAAATAAAATTTTCCCTTTATTATGAATAATCCCAGGATCACAATATCTTCAGCCACAGCTAGCAAAAGATAACAGAAATACTCTTCAGTCAGATGATTCTTGTTTTGTTCTACAATGTTATGGTGAAGACCACAGTATTTTATATGCGGTAAGTATTTAATTATTGCCCCGAGGAAGTTGTTCCCTTACAACTTTTTAAAAGAATTTTAAAGAGAATGAAACCAAACAAAATGCCAATCAAACCAGAATAAAGCCAATCAAAACAAAACAGTGAAAGTGATACAGGACTTCAAAACAGGTAATAGGAAATCAACAGTGGTTACCATAATGCCTCTTGTTATCTTCAAAATTGCTGCCTATACCATCAGTAAAGTAAAATAAAATAAACAGAACAGAATAAAACCAATCAAAACAGAAAACTAAAGAAAACAAAGCAGTGAGAACAATATTGGATTTCAAAAACAAGACAAGAAAACCCCGTATAGTTGCTATAATGCATATTATTATCCTCTAAATAGATGCTTAGACTACCAGCTTTAGGCCTGCAAAACCAATCAAACTACAAGAATTAAGTTGTTTTTGTACCTCAGTTGCTATCAACTCAGCCTGTAACCCTCCAAATCAGCCAGTTGCCTGCTCGAGGAAGCTGTGCGGATTGTCTTCTTGTCTCCCAACCCATGTGCTGGCTGGCTCACGGGAAGGGTGAATTGGCTTCTTGCCGCTCCCTGCCCCACATGGCTGCTGGCCCACAGGAAAGGCAAACTGGCCTCTTGTTTTGTTACCCATCCCACATGGCCACTGTTCTCCCCTTCCAACTTTTAACAGGCCAAGTATTATTTCTAGTCTATGGACATGGAAAATGCCTTGTTCACTGGAAAGTGGTGTCCAGTGGAGAGCTCAGGCATTTGGTCCCTGCCTGTGTGGGCTCGGCTGACAGGACAGAGCCATGAGAAGCTCGACCTGACAACCCCAGAATCATTCCTGGAGTGAAAGGTGATGTGGAGCTTGTCTCAAGAACCTCGCTTTCTGTGATTCACTGAAGAGCTGGAGTTAGTGCTTTCCTTTTCCACTCCAGCCACCAACATCTGAGCACCAGTATCAAAAGTATATTTGGAAAGATGTCAGGAAAAATGAGTGTTTCTGCTGTGAAGCTCTCTCAATATACAGGGAGTTCTAGGCATCCCTGATTCACAGATCAGGAACAGTTCTTTCCTGCAACATTTATTGAAAAAAGGATCAATAAAGGGTATTTCGCAAACTTGAAAACCTTCACTGTTCTCATAATTAAACACCAGTTTTTTTTCTTTTTTTTTTAGTTTTTCTTTTCTGTCTTTTTTTTTTCATAGCAAATAATCAGCTACCATTAAGAGTGTGTTTGGGTGTGGACACTTGGGGGGAGGGACTGTAAACTGTGTACCACAAGATCTAACTGCGACCCTCTCAGATCCTCCCCTGCCACTTGCCATCTGGCTGTCACTGCATTGCAATTCCGTGAGGAGGAAAAGTGCTAGAACCAGTGTTAATTCAGATGAGAAAACTAAGATTCACAGATACTAGGTAATTTCCCCAAGATTACCACTAATAGGTAAAGAAAGGATATAAATTCAACTCCGAGTGTCTCAGCTAGGGAGCCTGTGCTCTTTCACTATGCTGACACAGTATTTCCTACCAACAGATGCTGAGCCTTCTGTATCGGGCTTCTTTCTCTTTTTAATATTTTATACACAATAAATTATACAAATCAAGATGCTCTGACAAATATATATTTGTAATCTTCAACCAAATACAATTTTAGATGATTTCCATTACCATCCCTAGAAGTTTAGTTAATTCTTTTTCTAGTTGAAAATCTTAGAGACAGTCTGATTCCTATTGCCAAAGATGAGTTTTACATGTTCTTGAAATTTAGGTAAGTGGAGTTATATATTTGTGTTCGGCTTCTTTAAATCATCAGAACTTTGAAACTCCTGTACATTGTATATGTAAATAATTTAGATATTTTTATAGCTGGATAATATTTCATTGTAAATATATACCATAAATTTAGTATTCCATCCTTCTTAAGGAACACGTATATTATTTCTGTACAAGTTTTTTGTTTTGCTTTTTTGTTTCTTTATGGCCCTGGGTGGAACTCAGATCCTGGAACACAACTAGGCAAGCACGCTACACTCCAGCCCCTTAGACAAATATTCTTGTGGACTTATTTTCATTTCTTAGAAGTGGAATTGCTGGGCCACAAGACAGGTAATACTTATTTTTATTGAAAACTCAAAGAACAAGACTGAACAATTCATTTTGCCAGTGTACCTCTATGAGAAGAAACCATGAAATATAATGATCAGCAACTTTGCCACAAACAGCAGTGAGTTCCATACCACTGACTTAATATCTTTCCATGCCTGTGAAAAACTGCAGGCCCAGGCCCAACCCCCTAACCCTCAAGGCAGGTGCACCCCGTCCTCTACAATCAGGCTTATCCCAGAGTACTTCAGAGACTGAGGGTGCCTCCCGTCAGGGCCTGGCCCGTAACATGAGTCAGGCCGGCCAGCTGCTCCTGGGAGGCAGGAAAAGCTGCCCAGCTCTAGCCCGTGGCCAAGGTCAAGGAGTACCATGTGGCTGATCTTTCAGATTTTCCAAGAGGAACCTGGAATTCTTAAATAAGAAACCTCCCAACTTTTAAATGTCAGGAACTAATTTTAACGCTGTGGACCAAAATGAACTTCGGTTTATGATCTTTGAGGTGCCTGAGTGGGGCAGGAGAAAGTGACTCAGTCAGAGGCGGAGTGAAATCCAGGGAGCACTCCCAGTCCTGCCTGTTCTGAGCACTGCGCTGTGCCTGCTTCCACCACACTGCACAGGTGCTGGCTGAGAGGCGTGACAGTGCGACCCTCTCAGACCCTCCCCTGCCACTTGCCATCTGGCTGCTTCTGAGGGCTACATTTCTTAGATAACGCTGGCTGGCTGGTGTTTCCCGGTCACCTTCTGCTCCCCCAAGCTGAAGTGGAGGGAATGACACGGCTGCAAAGGGACCTGACTACCAGACTCCCGTGAATTAGGTCTGGGAAATCCCCTCAGCTCTGCAGGTTCTTGGAAACACTGATTCTTGGCCTCCTCATCTCGTTCATCAGAACATCTAAGGGATATGTTAGGACCTTCTGACGTGTGTTATCCAAGACAGAACTGCTGATCCAGCCCTGACTTAGTGATACAGTGGGGTCCCCAGAGGTGAGCGACTTTCCCAGGGTTACACGGTGAGCTCCTGGGAGTGGAGGAAGCCCAGCTCTCCAGCCTGCCAGCTGTCAGAGCCTCTACCGTCTTGGCCTGTGCCATGATTTCAGCCAAAGTACTGTTTTCCAGGGTCCTCAGTATCTGTTATCCTAAGGCAAGTCTAGGGGTTTGTCGGCCTGGTTCTCCTTTCTTCCTCTTCTCCCCCTCCCCCTCGCCCTCACCCCTTCTCCCTTCCTCCCTTCACTCCTCCCTCTCCTCCCCACCTCCCCTGTCACTGCTTTGGATTCTGATAATATTTTGGCTTCAGATGATTGAGTAGAAAATAGCAGGGTGGCATCCAAAGGGAGTCTCCTGTGCCATAGAAGAAATGGCCCAACGAAGGTAAGGTCAGGACTAAGCAAGGGATTTGCACAGAATACACAGACAGGACTAAGTCAGGAGAGTGTCTCAGGGTCAGGAGAAAGGTAGGAACCTTCAAAGTGAGCATACAGTGTCACCCAACCCAAGCACCAGAGAAGGAAGACACGCTGCCACGCCCACCCCAATGGGCATCTGGTGATGAGCTTTAGCTGGCCTGTCTGACTCACTGTGTTAACCCCAAGACCAGCACCTCTCCCACTGACGCATTCTGACAAGTGTTAGCGGACGCAGGTTTCCACCTACTGTTTGCCTCTGGGGTGTCCCTGAAGATTGTTCCCCCGAGTGGCACTGTGGGGAGGTGCAGACACTTTAAAAGGTGGGACCTAGTGGGGGGCCTCAAAGGGGACCCTGGTCTAACTTTGTGCCTTTTTTCACTTTTTGGCCATAAAGCGAGCAGCTTTGCTCCACGATATGCAGTTTGCAGATGTTCTGCCTCACACCAGACCCCAAAATTCCAGATCACCAACTAAAATCTCTGAAACCAGTGAATAGAGCTTCTCTCTATGTAAATGGATTATCACAGATATTTGCTCAGGTGGTGGAAAGCTAACATTTCCTGAAGAAATCTCAGCCATTTAGATTGATGCTTAGTTAGAATATACCAAGCACTGAGGTCATCACTTGGTTTGGGAATTTTTAAGCCACATACAGCAGGCAAGGTGCTGTGCGGACTCTAAAGATAAAGAGAGGAGAAAAGAGCAGAGCCTGCCTTACGCAGAGCCGTGACCAGGCAGACCAATGACAACGCAGTGACGGTAATCACCAAGCCTGGAAGGACAGACTTTCCAGATGAGACAGTGAGCGACTGGTTTACTCAGGTTCAAATTTCAACAGTATTTGTTTATGGACTTGCGTTGCAAGCGAGCTCATAGGAAGCGTGGCCGTATTCCGTGTGTCACTGTCTAGCATGAGGTCTGAGGCTGCAGGCGGGGCAGTACTGTCACTGGCCCAGATGGCAATCCAGCAGAAGGCTCCCCATATCCTGAGTGACTGACGTTGAGTCACATAGCCTCAAAGGTACAAAAGCAAGCTTTCCATAAAGTTCACTTCTACAGAATTATGTCTCGT